TCGAATACTTCAAGATATCGAGGTTCACGTCAGGGAAAGTAATAACAGAACTGTAAGACCCAGAAATCCAACGTAAACAGGACTCATTCGATATTGCTGAGCAAAATCAATTTATCACAACAGCAAAAATACCTAGAATCATTCAGAAAGAAATAACAATTTTTTAACATTTTGTTGAATTCTTTGAGGCAAAGAATTTGGTTTCATATGTGCCCCAGACCTAACATATCAGTGTCATTGAGATTGATATCGTTGAATTGAACTACATACATTTTACGTGCACATTTTGGGTACTGATCCTGATAAGATAAAAAGGAGTATTTTTCTCCAGTGGATGTGTTCACGAATTTTATTTGTACTGCACATCCGTGTTAACTTAATTTGAGGGGATAAGACGTGATGTAATTCAAAAAATTTCATTGTGTTTTCACAGTATTGATCAGAAAGCGATACTCCTAACAAACTACTCCTATTGACTCTTTTCTTATACCTATGGAATAAACAAAACATGAAGGCTTAAGGATGCTGTTCCGCAAGTCTAGAAAATTGAAAAAAATACTATCAAGCTTTTATGACTAAATATTCGATTTTTATATTTCAAATAATAGATGTGCTTAATGATGCTTAATATTGAAGTATATGCTACAAGAATACATACTTTCATATATTAATTGTTACTTTTGTAGTTTTAAAAATTTCTGAGAAATCAACGAAAATTGGTCGTGCAGCATTTTTAAAAGTATACTTCACACTTTGCGAGAAAAAATACAGAAAAAGTTGAAGTCGATTATGTGACAATCTTATTTTAAAATTCCATTGTTCTCACACAAAACTAAGTGAATACTACTCATATTAAAAAATAGTACATGCTATTATTTCAATAACTGTTTTTGAATAACATAATTATAACGAGAAATCTCCGTCATCTGTATTGTAGGTGTATGAAGATGCCGAAAAAACGTTTGCATTTTATGAAAATTCAGATTATCCAACGAAAGTCAGTCCTACTCCATTTGTACGTTCTTTATCGGAGGAAAAAATTCAAAGAAAATATGTGAGATAGTGAGAAATGTTGTAATCATTTTTGACATGATGTACCCTCCAAAATCAAAATATACATTTCATATTCAAGAGGCCGCGACATCAACCAGATCGATCAGGGAATATCAATATTGATGAAAATCCTACCTACTGTTTAGCCTAGAGTTGTTCACAGGCACAGACGAATGGACGGACGGACGGACGGACGGACTGAAGGACGGACAGTCTGATAGAGAGAGACAGACGGATAAACGGACGGGTATTTATTTGCTTTAAAGAAATTTTTTGGCATCAACGACCCCAAAAAGTGGATTCTGACAATACAAACAACAGAACGTGTTGGAGAAAGTTATATACTACATACCGAAGCAAGAATTATCCATTTTTCGTTATCAGTGTCCCACAATTCGAGGTTTTGGGTACGAGAAATCGCCAAATTATCTGCAGTATTACAATATTTTCTCTGTACTACGTAATATACGAGAAAGATAAATTAATTTTAGTAACCATAATAATAAAATAATAATAAAATAATAATAATAATAATAATAATAATAATAATAATAATAATAATAATAATAATAATAATGCCGTAACAAGACTTTATCGTGGCATTTTCTTCTCCTATTCAACGTGGTGTGTGTTTTGCCTGCCTGCAGATCCACAAGGTTGGAAGCCGCCGGACTGACGAAGCCGCGCTCTTGATCAAAAGGCGGGCGGGCGGGCCGGCCGGCCGCGGCCACTTGCCAGCCGAGGATTTGCCTTGCTAACGGGGCCAACGCTGGCTGGGCGCTCGTCGCGCCGATTATCGCGTTCGGATCAGCGGCCGCAGCCCCTCCGCGCGCTGTGGCGTCGCCGCGGCCGCTCTCGCCGCTCCTAGGAAGCGGCGTTTCTGGGAAGCCGCACGGCCAAGCAGTCCGCGTAGAGCGAAACTTCGCGTCGAGTGCACGGTAACGTATTCATTGGGCGTGGTTCAGGCTTCGCATATATGACCTCTGAAATGTATAAGTGTAAATATTGTGTTTAATGTAATGCAAATGTAATGTTTAATGTAAATAATGACTTTATGTAAATGTAAATATTGCACCTCGGGTGGCTCATTAATAGTGCACTAGCTTTCCTTTGTGCGATCCAGAGTTCGATTTCCGATCTGGGCAAAAGTAGAACTATAGCGTTCAAGTACTATTGTTTCAGATTAAATGTATATAACGAAAGTAAAGCTCAAGGAAGCTAAGCAGCCATGTTAGATACGGTGAAGGCACCACGAGTGAATAGTAAATAAAACAAAGTACAGTTCTGGGAACACCGCTAGCTGCTAACTCGGATTAATCCAACTCTATAATATACATACAATACAGTGTTATGTAAATATGAAAAAAATCTCATGGATATAGTTAAAAAATCATTAGAAATGTTGGTTTAAATTTTTCAAGACTCTATAAGAAATGTTCTGGTAAAACTGAAAAAAAAATTCACCTTAAATAGAGTTGAAGACTTAAAATACAACACCTTATTGAATCGATTCTCAACTTACACTTTTGAGGGGTATAAAGTTTCATATATAGGCAGAAGTTCTGTTAAGTTTTTATAGGAATGAGCTGACGGAGAAAAATATAGATGATTCAATAAAAGTACGAATTTATGTCTAGCAGAAACATTTTTTTGAAGGGTAGAAATTAAGAATTGTTTATAAAAAATCTATTGCTATTAGTAAACCTACTAAATTTTGCGCTCCAAATTTATATTCCGGTGTCAATAAGATTAGATCAATATATAAAGGAAACAACATCATACTTTCAGGTTATATGTATTTTTAATTATCTCTCATCCAGATCATCGTGATCTCATTTTCAGATAAAATTATCTTGTTCCTCCACTCAACGTAAAGCTGTAATATCGTGGCTGTCAGTGAAGTCAATATGTTGAAAGATCTTGGTTTCTTTTCATCGAAAACATGTTTTAGCTACAATTCTGTGCGAGAGTAAACTTCAATTTTAGAATCATGAGAGATTTTTTTACATTTTTACTGAATTCTCGTGAGTGAATATAAAATTAAGATGTTGAATAATCCACTTCTGGTTTTCAATATTCCATCACATTGCTGTACACATATGAATATAGATTTCAAAATGGGGTCCTATTCACACTTCATAGAGAGATACACTATCGAGTTATGAGTTTTATGATTACTCATTTTCTTGCTTGCTTTAATTGAAAAATCTTTATAGGCATTCGGTTTTGAGTTACATAATGAATTATAATTAATAACATTTACAACTCCAATGCCTTACATTTTCCGTGACGAGTAGAGGTAAAGGAATGTGTCCATGCTCATAATTACAAATCTGATGTATCTATTATTGCTATTCATCATTCACAGATGACTTGATTTGATTAAAAAAAACTGGAAGGAGTGGGAAGTATTTATCTGCAGATTGGAGGAGGGGGAGGTAACAGAAGATGAATGAGATCATCCGAAACTAGTTTTCAAGCCGGTAATGGAAATGACCAGTGGTTTTCCTGTACATCAGCGACGTAAGCTGACCAAGGAATTCACGAGGGCTGCACTTCTAGAACATGTGAATGAAAAATACTATGAACGTTGTTCTACTCTCATTATGACAGGTATCCCTGATCGAAAAAGAAATGTACCTTGTGATACAGTTTTTCATGGTTATCGGTAAACCATGATTATTATTGATAGTGGCGCAACTAGAATTTTTCTGCGGGAGGGAAAATTTCTAGTTACGGGAGTAGTGTCCTAGCCTACTTCATGTTTGCTGTTAAAAACATTTTCATTACTTCTAAATTTACACTTAATTTTCATTTGTTAGTTTATAATTTTAATTATAATATATTCAAATGTATAATTCAATTACTTTCGTTATCACATAAAATTATTAAAATCTATAATCTAATTCTAATTCTAATTCTAAAATCTATAAAGGCAGTAATATTCACATACAAATTGTACAATATAAGCACCCCTCTCCACAAACTCCTCTCTACAAACAAATACAAATTTACTCACACCTCTCTTCCAACAAGCACAATCTGTGTGTGCCTATGACACGTAACACACTGCACCCATTCATCACCATTTCTGTCTTCGGAAAACAACCGTTGGCAAAACAGACAGGAAGAATAATTTTTGTGAGGGATTATTGTGAATTGTGGTCCCTACAATTCCGAATCGGTCATCCAAGGGTTGTGGTCTTTGAGCTTCTGAGTTGGAGGTACTCGGTGAAGGAGGACCTTTTTATTCTTGCTCTTTGATTTTTGAGGTTTTTGATCTTTCTTCTTTTTGTCTATCACCCCATCAGCAGTAAACACAAGCTTTCTTTTTGTCAATTTTGAGCGGTCCAAGGACCGTTGTAGCTCCTCACGGCAAGGTGTTCAAGCGACCAGTGATGCTTTAGGTGACTTTCAACCCTGTTTGATTTTTTTCTTTTTAAGAGTTGGGACATGAGAGATATCCCTTTAGACCTCTCTCACTAGTCTATATTTACACCAAGTCGGCTTTTACAAAACAATCATGGCGACCATCACTGGTTTGAATTGAAGCATTGAAAACGATCGCCAACTCAACGTTAACACAGCCTCGCTGTCAAATAGCATTTACTGCCAACTGGCTAATGGTGAAAAACAGTATAGTATATGCCATTTGAAGGTTTGACGATGGAAAAACACGCCAATCGATATTTTTTTACGCACAACATCTGAACGCGTTGACTGATAGGCGAGCAACTGTTCGTCGCTCTTTAACGGTACCGAGGGGACTAGTTTCACGCCATTGCCTATACAGTGCGACACCCTCCGGCTCCTCTACAGAAACTAATTTTCTAAACCATAGCCTGTACTCGGTCCTTTTCTATTTTTATAATTATTATTGGTATAGAAATAATAAGAATTTTTTTATAGGCAAAAATTCATTTTATTCATATTGCATTATTTAAATGTCAGTGAACACACACACACACACACACACACAAACCCAACCAGAAAGGCCGCTGACATTGCGTGTACAGCACATTCAGAAGTGTCATTGACTCCTGTCCAGCGCGTTGAAGGCAGCGCAGCGCCACGCATCGCCACTCCACGCCTGCGCACTCATCCGCTCACACAGCCGCGTTGTCGCCTCCTCTTCCCTGTCCCCGCGCGTCGTCTTGGACAAACGCGCGACGCAAAACGGACGCGGGACACTGCGCCGCGCGCGTGTTTGCGTTTCCCCGCGCCCCCACCCTGCCCCCCAACGCCGGCCTCCACGGCGGAGTTTAGCTCGGAGCCGACATTGCCGCAGGCTCTTTAATAGCTCTGATAGAGAGGACATCCGTCGATGGCGGATTGTCGATAATAGCTTCAGCCGCCGCCTGGAAGGGAATTCTAGCGTCCGGCTGCACTGGTCGGCAACGCTGATTCGTGGTCTCTCTCGTCAGTAGCAGGAGAATGCCGGAACAGTGCCGAAAAGAACGGGCCATGCACCGCGCGCGATTTTTCCTTCCTCTACCTTCCTCGACGCGGCCTTTTCTCTTTTACTTAGACACAACACTTACACGTCATATACATCATACTATCGTACATGACGGAAGACCTCGGGAGCTTAGAGATTGTCCCTGCTGAGGCGGTGCTCCGGCGGGGGAAGATAACCGCAATTCAACGTGAACATCAGGATCGGATTAGCATCCAGTGAGGGAGGACCACCACCACTTTCGGTGACAAAAACATTCAGCACACTACTGGAAATATTGACCACAGCAGTTTCGTGACCAAAAACTTAAATCATCAGTCAATCAATTAATAAATCAATCAATATGTTCGCCGCCTCCACTGCCCCCTGCAACACGCCGCCTCCACCAACGTGTTTTCCACCGCCTCAGCCGTCTCCTCCGCCTCATTTACGGCCTCCGCCGCCTCCTCCAACGTCTTTTCCACCTCCGCCTCCTCCACCGCCTCTGCCGCCTCCTCCTCCGCCTCTGCCGCCTCCTCCACCTCAACCGCTGCACATCATCCTTCCTTCGCTGCACATCACCGCCGCCTCCGCCTCCTCCACCGCCACCTCCACCTCGTCCTCGCCCGCCTCGCCGCCTCCTCGCGCGTCACCCACAGTGGGCGTTCGCAACGGGACTCGGCGCGCGCGGCCTCTTAGCGCCGCCTGCAGGGCAGCGAGAGGGCGCTCAGCTGCGTAGGCTCAAACGCGAGCCTCGCGGATGGAACAGAACACAACACTGGCGGAACGTGGATTTACATTCTGGTGCCAGCGAAACAGTTTCTCCGTTCCGTTTATGATTGTTGTGCCATGAACTTCTATGATTGTTGTCTATGATTGTTGTGCCATGCCAATGATTTTTTATTTTATTTATTTAAATCAGAAATTGCGAAAATAACGACACTAGTAAAAAAGCTTGCTGTGCAATAACAGTAGATTATAGGGAAGGGGATGACCTCGAATGACTACCCAGAAAAAATCTCTATTGGACAGCTTTTATATAATGAAATGTAATCTGGGACATGAAATAATGCCCCCTTTCTTCCTGTAAGCACGCGTATGTTTGTAACATTTTATCAATCTATTGAAACAACGGACGACCTTTTTATTTTACACAACTTAATACACAATTATGTAAGCTAAATATCTACAGTTCTGTTCTACTTTTACGCAATAACAACTGTACTTTCCGATTTTCAGATAATCAACCGCTAAAACTTTAGATAAATGAACCTTTAAGCAATTTGCAGGACTCCCTATGTTTTTAAAAATAATGCATAAAGAAATGTAACTATATCTCCAATATTGTATTCTACAAGTTCTTCAAATCTTGTCGACATCATACTTGCTTTCTAGATAATTCTACAGAACATTTCTGAATTTGCCAAAACTTGTATAATTGCGTTGGCGTTTTATATAATATTCCAAAAAAATGTTCCAAAAAATATATTTTGACTATCCATAAACATCGTGACTAATTTATGAATGATAGGCCCTTTTAAGCCTAACGTCGTCACAATCTGACACTTCATATGGAACATGATGCTGTTCTAACGTTTCACTATGTGCGCAATTCCTTTCGATTTATGGCTCCAACGCTCACTATGGTCCTGAGAATGGAAGACCAGCGTTACTGCGATTTTGCGCCGAATTTTATCGCGTTAACTTTGGAATAAATAATTGTGAAAAACATTCAACAATCTAATTAGACTACACAAAATATCGCAGAAAATCATTAGCTTTTCAATTCCATTCTTGGGGAGATATTTAGGTTTTTCACAGGCGATCTGACTATAAAAATCTGAAAAATCGAAAGCACCTATATGTTTGTTATAAATATAAAAGGGACTATACTTCACTTAAAAAATGATCACAGACACGGTCTACTATTAGTGTTAAATTTTTATTTTCTGGAAACGGCAACTTTGTCCCTTCTGCTGGTTTTCTCTATATGACTACGAACACATAAACCATCTGTCCTGGTGCATTCAGTATCATTGTAGAATTCCTTTGGAGTCTTTTCTCCGTTTCCTTTCAACGGAACGTGAATCGCCATAAGTATAAAACACGTTCATTTAACGCCCTCAGTAGTTTGGGAGTAACGTCGAAAGCAAATGTTGAATGTGAAATATAATTGAACATTTTCCAGTCACTCTGAACGTAGCAACACCATCGGAACTATTTGTAGCGTTTCTCTTATTCCTAAGTGGTCCAAATTCTTCCAGCTGAAAAGCTCTCATCAAGGAGGTATAACTTCACATGGTCAACCACCAGTCGTATTACATTGCGATTCCGTCAATCAATTTAATTTTATAACGCGAGCCTTGGAAAACCGATTTAGCTTACCGAATCAGGATCAACAGCAAATAATTAATACATTTAGAACTTTGTGTATAAAATATTTAACATTTTTAAAAGAAGAATTATAATACACGACAATGATTTTCGATAAAATAAATGGAGAATCTAGGCGGACAATTATCTTTGGCAGAGAGAATGTAATATATTTTGCGGTAATGTGTTCCATTTGGGTAGAATAAGAAAATTTCAGACGGTAATCTTTCAAGTGTAGCAAAGATCTTTGTAGGTCGTATGAGAAAAAGTATACGAAATTTCCTGTGTGTTTTGCCGCTAATACTTTCTCTGACGTTGTTTACCTACAACCTTCCCAGTGGATCGCTCATTATTTTCTTCTTGGTAAACCTTTCCTGCAGCCGCTGCGGCATTCTTGTTTCAGCTGATAGTAATGAAGATAGTTCACACAGAATTCCCACAATTAATATTTCAATGCTTTCTTCTCGGCGAAATATATCATTAAGCTGCAGAGAATGTGAATTTAATATTTTGGGCTCATTTTCAAAAGCTAACACTAATAATGACTCATGGCAATTTTGTTCCAATCAATTTCAACGGAGAGCTGTTGGAATGTGATTTTGCTTAGAGTACCATTGATGCTCCGGAGGCACACGCGAGGTACAGGTGCGGATTTAGGTAGCCTGATACACTGGACCAAGCTCATGGCAAAACTTTCACTTTTGTGTTACAGGGAAACTTACAATGCTTGTACTAAAACTTCATCAAAATAATAATCACCACAAAAAATGAGCGAATTGAATTTGAAAAAATGTTGAATTAACAGTAATATTAATTACTGTATACTGCGGACATTTGGTGCGCCTCAAAATTTGCCGTTATGGAAATGTTGAATATAAAGATTTAAGTTAATGTTTATCATACACTTTAAATTGATTAATTAGATCAAGCTGTTTTTATTTGTTGGATATTTTATTTGTTAAACTATAAATTTTGATCATTTTGCTAGGGGAGGGATCCAAAGTACTAGTATAGAATTATTCTTTACAATAATTTTGATTTTAACTTCAGTTTTAATTTGAGTATTTACAAATAATGTGGTTTTAACTCCACATGTTTCCACAATTCGAGATCGAAGCTATTTGAAAAAACTCTACAGGTTTAGGATCAAAACGTCAAGGTAAAATGTATTTTAATTTAATTGTCTGTTAAATAACAATAGGTTAATACAGTCCACCAATTTAATATTTAATTCGTAAAATACGGTTGGATGGCTATATCATTAGAGCTTACTGCCTTAATCGGAATGTCGAGGGCTCGAATCTTATCCCGGGCGAGAACGTTTCTTCCGGGTGATTGTTATGTAATGTGAGGGCATCGCGTTCATGTACCATCCGCGGACTGTTTGACAGACCTTTTCTTGAGCCCCGGAATACCTACCTCCCACTCCTTTACTAACATTAATTGAATTAAGAATAAAGTGTATAGCAACGACAAAATCTGGAAACCAGAAAAGTTCGCTCCCAGGTAATCTGGGCAATTCTTCAATTAACAACAATATTAAATTCGTTTTTCACATTTCTCACTCTGATCATTTGGCGCCCCGAACATTCGGCGCCCCGAACATTCGGCGCCCCGAACATTTGGCGCTCTAGGCACATCGGGTTCCATAAATGTGGCCCGCCTGTGAGGACGTCGGAGGAAGGCGTCGGGCAGCCGGTGCGGCTCAGCGGAGTGGATCGTGTCGGAGAAGACTTCCCGGGTGCTGTTCGTGGCCTGTAATTCGCACCTGCCACCGCTCGGGTGCGGCTGTTTTAGCGCCTGTGAACACGTTCCGTTGCTGTTTTGACACTTTCGGAGGCTGTGGGGGTCATTGGCTTGTATACCTCTTGTCGCGTGTGATAACAAGATCGTCTACCCGCGGGTGCTCGGGTATTGCCTTCTGCCTTCACGATCGTCTACATGCGGAGTACGCTCTAATTTCCGGTATGGTTAACACTCGCTGCTGGTTGTTGAGCGAGGGATATGGTTTGTGTGTATGCAGATGTGAGGAATACTTGAAGAGTACATTCGGTTACTGTTTTCTTTTCTATTACTAGAAAATTATTGTAGTTCTTTTCTTCAATTCACTAAGAAATGTAACAGTCGTCTTAGTGAAAAAAATTGTGAATCTAATTGTGTTAGTTTGCTGGAAATAAATTTTCAAAATTGAATTCTCAGTTCTTTCAAAAATGAATTTTTATATTTTGTCTATACAACGGTTTTCAGAAGTCTGCTCTGTTTAACTATGTCACGATAAAGTGATCTAAAGTATAACATATACATTATCTTCGCATTTTTTAAATATCAGATAATGTTAGAATTGGCAAAGAATAAGAAAGGAAAATTGAATTTTTAAATATTAACGCACAAAGATTCCGGTAACATACTCACAAACATACAAAAGAGTACAAATTTCGTTGAATTTCTTACTTAAAATAGCGGTTTAGTGCATCTAAGAATTTACATAATATATTTTTAAAAGAATTAATTCGATATCCAAGATTGCATTTGGCACGCCTGTCAATTTCCCCTCACTATTTAAATTCATTTCGATAATTTTTATTGTAGTTTTTGCTACGAATGAGTCTCTCTGGTTTACAAGAATAATCATAAAATCGCACAAAAAGGCTTACTCGTTTCCTGTGTAGTGTAGGTGTGCAATCACACACAATGAATCAAAACAATCTATTGCTACTCCAAGAAATACCTTAGCTGAAGTACTTTGAACCGTACAACGCTAATGTAAGGGATATGGCAATCCCAATAAGGGTTGACACGCAAATTTCTTGCTGCCATCATTGAGATATTGCAATAAATATAATTTAACAATTAATTTATAACTTCACTGCTGATCAAAGTTAGCAGATCAGATCATATGATTCCAGTTCGTCAGGGTTGCGGGCTAAGTTATCAATTGCCGTGCGATAGTATTTGAGATTCAGTATGTGATATTCAAAATTATGGAGATATATTGAGATTCAATATTTGGATTTTAAAATTATGAGTTTCACCAAATTTATTGTTTTATCCAAGAAACGGGGGTTCAGGAAAAAAATCGTTTAACTATCGTGTTTTTGTGACAAGTGAGTAAATCAAATACCACTTTAAAACCAATTCTTCATTTACGAATAAACAACTTTAACGCCAGAATAACGAATATTCATAACGAATAAGCATATTTTCGCCAAGCACGCCCGGTATTCGAAGTAGTATCACTGTTCCACGAATTCGTTGACACCATAACACAGAACGACGCGTGGCGGCGCTAGTGTTGTATCGTGGCTGCAGCCGCCACGGTTGCAAGGAAGTTGCGCATCGTCAAAAGTTCATGCAGGCAAGCTGGAGTTATAAATACATATGTAAGGCGATCTAGGTGTGCAGGTAGCAAAGTAGCTCATGGACTCGCACCTACCTTGACAAGGCCACTAAGCGACAAAGTAATCCAATTGTAAATAACACACTAATAAACAAAAACGTGCATGCACGGGGCTATACATTCATCTCATCGGTTTGAGTCGAAAGAAAGGGTCGCTCGGATCGGCATGACTTCTACAACAAGGACAATTTTCGACGTTTCAAATTCGACGGGCACACACGATGCTTCGATCTCTTCTTCACTCCGAGGCGTCGGTCGCGCTCGCAGCGCTGGGGCTCACCGTGTTGCTTGGCGAGTGCAGTCGCATGGCGTCCTCTGGCGTTTCGTCCAAGTCGCTGCTGCTGCTGCTGCTGCTACTGCTGCTGAGGCTGCTGGCTGTCCCGCGGCACCGGCACGACTGCGGGAGCGCGCGCCCCGCTGACCGAATGCAGGCCGAGCCGTACGGTACCGCATACCTGCTCGCCCCGCCGCCGCCGCCGCCGCCGCCGCTGTCTTCGCCGCCGCCGCCGTCGCCGCCCCCTGGGCCGCCTAATGTAATCCTTCCTGCTGCCGTAACCCCGTGCCACGCCCACGACGAGCCGCCCAGCCGAAATGGTGTCTCGTGCATCGCCGCCGCGGGCGGGATCCATTTAGATTGAGACGGGTCGTGGGATGTGGACGTCGAAAGTGGGTCCGGGGAACTTTGGGGGAAATATAAAGTCTGACGTTTCCAGTGAATAAGAATATGCAATTAACATTCAGATTATTTAGTTTCACATTGTATAGTGTACAATAACAAACGAACATTGTTTTGAAATAATATAGCCGTGTGTGATTATTGAATATTTGAAACTGTTTGGGGTCGTTCATTTTTCACAATCCCCCTTTCACGTAGATCTGCCTGATTACACACACTGCTTTCTTGGGTAAAAGGGAAAGGAATACAAATTACCAAGATTCCAAGCCAGTTTTATATTTCATTATTTCGAAAATATTCCGGAAGAACTCTATGATTCTGTCTTCTATAATTACCGTAACAGTCATCACTGTCATTGAGATTTCGTTGGTCAGATGTATGTGCTAAGCTCTTTTACGACAGCAATAATTAAGTAATTTTAGAAAGCAAAATTAATTAATTTTATAGATATCTTCATTGCTAAACTTTGATAGTAACACATTTTAATCTCGTGTTAACATTACATTTCATTCGTGTAAAATATAAAATATTATATATCTTGTATAAATATGGAACGTATACGTATTATCTTTTAGTAAAAGATAGTAAAAGTGATAGTTAGGTAGACAAAATGTAAGATATTATCTAATCGTTAGAACTGGAAGTATATTTTCATTGAGAAGTACCCACGAAAGATCTTCTTAGAACCTGAAACATACCAAAAAAGTTGTGGCTGGTAAAACTATTTATTAACTTTATTTAGTCAATTTTGTAAACGTAATGTAAAATTTAAATATTTCTGATAAATTTTTGCGAAACAAGAAACTACATAGTTAATGACTTAAATCAGACAGATACACATTCGTCAAGAACAAAGGTATGATCTTAATTTGTAGAAAATTTCTAATTATCAAGCTACAAAGTTTAGCAAGTTTTTAATAACAATATTTTTGTTCATTCTATTCTATTTTATATTTGTTTTTGTATTTTTTTGTCTTAAATTGCCATTCAGTGTACGCTAATTTGAAGTAATTAAGCATTATTATTTATTTATTCTCATGTGCGATTGACTTGAACGCCTTTCCCAACTGGACGCTTCCAGTTCGTAATTTTCTTCGAGAAAACTTTCGGATCTGCGCGTCCCGTCGATGTCGCATCCTGTTTCTGTCACGACCGGTTTTCCTCTTGTCTATAGACTTCGACACGAGATCTCAGCATCCTGGTACTTCGTGTCTGTCGGTTTGTCCATCTCTTTTCCCTTCAACATCTACATCCTGTTTCTCGGACAGTTTCTCTCACGAGAACATTTGGACCTCAATGCAGAATATTTGCATCCTTCCTCGCTGAAATCGTGTAGCATTTTTCTTCCCTCGTAAATAGTAGGATATAGGAGTAAATAATTCGTTGATGAGGATATAATTCAATTTTGACCATTAATATTGTAGACATATTGTCCCACGACGTTAGTGTGTATATTTCTTTGTAGACATCTTATCTAGCCATCAGATATCATACTGCGCATTTCGGGATGAGCATCATCTATTATTTTTTAACGATTTACCATTTTGGAAGGGTTAGAAGCACGCACATTTAATCAGAATGAATCTACTAATATACACAACGTGTTCAAATGTTTAACTCGTAAGCAACAGAGATACAATTCATAATAGGAGAGTAACATAACATTCATAACAATAATATCTGTAAAAAATTAGTCAAAGTGCAATCAAGAATTTAAAAAAAGACATGTTAATATTTTCTATAGAAGAACTAGTAGTTACTTTGCGAAATTTGTACTGTTTCTGACATTTTCCCTGTTTTCAGCATTCAAGGATCTTGAGGTTCGAAGGCTGTAAGACACAATAGAATGGCAGTGGACTGCTATTTAAAATGAATCAATTTAAAAGAAGCGTCGACAGTCTCATCAAATGGATGATTATCATTCTAACTATACACTTTTCCTTTACATATACATTACATAAAAAATGCCTTTCTTGGAGTTTAACTATTTTTCTGAAGCACTTCAGATCTACCTGATAGAATGGGATGAGAAAAGAGAAAGATGCATGGGCAGGACAACTCGGCGGGTGAGTACACAACCTTGTGGCTCGCGTTTTCACCTCTGGGCATCCAATTTTAATTTCCTATCCCTCCTTTTCAAATTATTGATGAATATGTGGTGTTCGTGGCAGATTCTTTCTCCAGTTTCTCCTGCTTCAGGATTTCATCTTTCCCCCAAGTCATTCATTAAATAATAATCGTTTTTGTACTCTTTCTTTTAATATATTCTCTGTGTTGTTCTGGAGAGGGGGAAGTTCAGATAAGGTGACAATTTGTAAAACGAAGCGATGTATTGAATACCGATACTTTTTTCGTCTTGTGAAATCTAGAATTTAAATATTCTATTGTTTTGAAGAAAGTTATAATTTAGATAGTAATTATCTCAAAGATTTCACAATTGAGAGTAACACTTACTAACCCACCTATATTATGGGTGAAATACAACTAAAAAATTTTATGCATTCTGGGAATTTCCATTTGAAAGAAACATGTTTCCCTACTTATTGTAAGTTAGGCATATGGGTTTAGTAATTGAAATGTTGATTGGTTGTAAAGAAGAGACAGAGAAGATGAAACTATCGACTGATCCTTCTGTTGTCGCTAAAACAGGCGCATATTTTTTAAAGCCCTAGGGTACCTACCCCAACTCTACTAATATTTGTTGAATTACGAGTAAGAATAAATATAGTAATGAGCGTTGTTGACAAAATCTGAAAATCAAAAATGCTTCCTTGTAGTATAAAATATTGGAAAACTTACTGATTTTATATATTAGTCCTGTCGTCAAAATACCCCCCCCCCCGACCCTCAGCGACTCCTCTCGCATTCAACAAAATGAGGGCTCAAGAAAGCGTAGGCGAATATTACATGTAACATGGAAAATTTTACGGTTTTGCGGTACTTTCCATTGAAAATGTTCTATTGATTTCTCCATTCTCTCGATTGTCCCTTGCAATAATTCTGGACGTGGTGATGTGTGGTGAGGAATGTGATTGTGGGAGTGTGCGTAACACCTTATCTGATTGTCTACTTTCGGTTCACGTGACAATTTTTTTTGTTCTTTTGTCGGCAACTTTTGTTCAAAATGCGTGTTTCTTCTCTCTATAAGGAAAAAAATGGGCCTTCAAAGATCTTTGGACCGGCACTAAAATACCTTTCTCTTGACGTGAGTATGATGATAGAGATGAAGGTCTTCTAATTTGTTCGAGAAACGTTTGACACTCACATTCACACATCCTCACATTTTTAAATGCATCATGGTAAAAAGAACTTATTTCGTCTCAGATGAAAACGGACTCCTCAATATGAATTTCGTCACAGAAATGAAAACTTTGAATTTGTGGAACGAATTTAATGCTTTTCCTGTACTACTACTACAATACTACCACTAAAATCACCTATACAATACCTATGCTACTATTTTTTTCGACTAAACGTGTTATATCTAAGGAAATGTTAAAAATGGGAGGTGGGAATAAGACAGGTGTCATACTAGTTCCATTCCCACTAAGGGAATGCCTATTCATCAAATAATTTAACATGACTGATTTATGCGAATCTAGGACATACAGTGAATCATTACAAATAGCTCACTCGAGGCACGAATCCACAGCGCCATCGACCCTCGGAAGCACGCGTGTGGGTCACATGGGAAGCACCGGTCCGCGTTCAGTGACATCTGCACGGTTCGGAGATGAATTGCAGAATGGAAGCATCAATACACATATTGTCCGTAGTTTGCTTCGAGAAGACGTTCATATGCAAATTAACAAGCCACGGAGAAAATAATGTTTCACTGTACTTGAAAACAAAATGGCTGCATGTACGATACTATTTTGGAAGTCTAAGATGACGAATGAATATTAAGGATATGTTTTTAAAATATCTTCAGTGTTGTTTTGAGTAATACTTAGCGTTAAAAATATACTTTCTCTTATATGAAATATTTTCTTTAAGAATGGCGGACGTGTCACATACATAGTTTTCCTTGCATCTTTTGATTATAATATAAAGGCTTCACAAAATTATTTGAATAATATGTTCTGAAGTTCTAATATATGTTACATTGTAATACGGATTGTTAAATTGATAAGTATCATTTGTCCTGTTTAATATTTTATTTGTTCTTCGCGTGTATTAAAAAATACCATTGGTTTTAACGTGCTTGTGATGTTAGACCTGACAGAAAATGTAAACTCTCAAGCGTTGAATTATAACAGTTATTAAAAGAGAACCCTACTTTACTTTCTATTATACACTAATTAGTATAAGGAACGTTATATAGTGCAGAAATAAACGTTTCGAGGAACTGATACAAAGATCATTTTTTCATTTTCAAAAGTCTTTTTGTCCGTCCGTATGTCTATGAACAATTTTTGCGCCTAAATTATTCAGAGAATTTCTTCCGAAAAGAATATTCGTGAAAAGATCTGCCCAAACATGATTTTAGGGAAAGTTTAGTATGTTATTTTGATCCGCATTGTACCTTTGCATTCAAACTTTACATTAAATACAAAGCAATTATTATTTGTTCCCTGAAATTCGTTTACTATCATACTAGGGTACCTAGAATGCTAAATTGGCGAAACATATCAACCTCTCCATTCATGCTCAACGTAATGTCGTATGATTTTTTCCCCTTTTTATTTTTTCTACCTTTAGTTCCACGCATTTGATTGGTCAGCCAGTCTACCCTACCGCGGTTTGCCGGCTTATTCCGGGACGTACAGCATTCCCCCACGGCCCTGTGTCCGGATTGGGGGGGGAGGGGGATTATGGAAAGGGTAGGTGAAGGAAATATTGCGAGGTGTCTGTAGCCCTTTACATACGGTTCTGCACCAGCATTCGCTCGGAGACGATCATAAACCACTGACCAGAGCAGTCTGGTATGAATTCGATCCCGAAGGACGACAA